TCTAGGAGAACTCACACACACCCTGGACGTGTCGCGTTCAACTCGAGCAGCGGTCTAAAACTGTTTATTTAACCACCAAACTAACACATGTTTACTTCAAGAATGAACGAACGAACAATGAGTTTGAAGTTCAGTGTTTAAAAAACGTAGCAAACGGAAAGAGAAAGCGCGATCTATATTATAGCTCTATAAATGAAGCATTAACAACGATTCGGGACCAATATAATGTAATTAAAAGGAAAACTATGTGAATGGCGCTCTGTGGCGCGGCAGGATTTTCTGTCGGCTGCATTTAAATCCGCATCTGAAGTTTTCCCTCTCTGTTCAGCGTGCAGTATCACGTGTCTAAACAAACAGCACGTGCTGTCAGTGATTTCAACCACTAGAGGCCGCTCTCACACTGTGTAATGACAGCAGACCCTTCTCAGCCGCTCCAGCAATGGACGCAACCCGGAAAACTATCGGCATGGATTTTTGCCGATAACGATAGTTCCAGCAAAAAACTATCGGTGCCGATTAATCGGCAAAACCGATACATCGGTCGACCTCTAGTTATAATAACAATACGTTATGCATAATTGCATACAAGTAACCCTAAAACAAACCCTAACCCTAACCATGTAGTAAGTACATGTAGTTAATTAATATTACTCAGTACTTAAATGTATAATTACACTTTAACAAGGTCACCATAAAATAAAGTCTAACCCGAAATTAATACTTTTTTTTCAGTATGGTTGCAGTCAACTGATCAAAAGTGACAGTAGAGACATTTAAAATGTTACAAAATATTACAAAAGATGTTTCTATTGTAACTATTTATCAAAGAATTCTAAATAAAATGGTTCACAGTATCCACAAATATTAAGCACAACTGATGATTTCACAATGTTATGTGAATATTATATGACTGTACTTTTTTTAAAAGATACCGATTTTGAAATTGACTTTCAATAAATAATCAAATACACCAAGTGTCAACAAGCCCTGATCTCACTTGTGTGTACATTCATACTTTTTGAAGTAATTTTCTTCTTTCATTTATTGTTTTAATAAATAAGGAAAACTTTTTTTTAAAACACATTTTGGTTACGCTTTATCTTAAGGTGTCCTTGTTACAGTCTGATAATTATACATTTAAGTACTACGTAATATTAATTAACTACATGTACTTACTACATGGTTAGGGTTAGGGTTTGTTTTAGGGTTACTTGTATGCAATTATGCATAACGTATTGTTATTATAACTAGAGGTCGACCGATGTATCGGTTTTGCCGATTAATCGGCACCGATAGTTTTTTGCTGGAACTATCGTTATCGGCAAAAATCCATGCCGATAGTTTTCCGGGTTGCGTCCATTGCTGGAGCGGCTGAGAAGGGTCTGCTGTCATTACACAGTGCGAGAGTGGCCTCTAGTGGTTGAAATCACTGACAGCACGTGCTATTTGTTTAGACACGTGATACTGCACGCTGAACAGAG